AATAATTTTTTCAACACGTTGGTGATAAATTGAGCGTGTCATGTAGTCCCCAAAGCCACAGCAAGGTATTATTGTATTACTTACTGCACTGTGTATTATTGGTACTCGTCATGGCCTCCGACTGACATAAAAGATTCAAGGCGGTTTAAGCAACCCCGAATTTTTTTAGATGCTTAGTCAGAACACTAAGTAACGATCGCGTAATTTTCCCGAGTAGAAAGTTCCTATATTTTGTAGATTGGTGTTGTGTAAGAAGCAAAACATGATGATGCTTACGTAACTCAACTCAACTTCCCGTTATTGGAATCTGGTGATTTTCATCAAGTTCCGCTTATACTAGATCACTAGCGATATTTTTGTGAGACCAACAATCAAACAAGCCGAACTCCAATCGAATTTTACGCCAGTGTATCTCTACAAATTCACATTTGCGGGTACTGGAAGTGAAGGCCGCGATATTATACCAGGTATGTATTCGTATTTAAAACGATTTCGCGGTAAAATTTGTTATTTCAGGGATAGTTGGACATAGCAACGAAATCGCTTATATTTTTGACATTGCGGACGTACCACTAAAAACCTAGGATGACTATCTCATGAGAAAACGTTTCGTCAGATTATGGACTAACTTTGCAAATACAATGTAACTAACCTAAGATACACCAATGCAACGAAACAGAATAACAATGTTTTAGGAATCGCACACCTGATGTCTTCGATCCGCTTCTGAATGTGACTAACTTTGCAAAGACAATGTAACTAACCAATGCAACGAAACAGAATAACAATGTTTTATTAATTATAATGGGAGCTGGCAGTTATTCGAGAAACAGAGTGGTAAAATTTTCATCTATATTCAAGAAAAATGAGTTCCTGTGTGCTGCTAAGTTAAACAGAAATCGTGGCTTAAAAACTGACATCGGATCTGAACAGGAGACAAAAACTACACAAAAAAGCACGAGACTTTTGTAAAAGGTCTAGGTTGAGTATGGTTCGATTAAAGAAATGAAGACATTTATTAAAAAGGAAGACACTAGTAGAGCTATACATATCTCTAGTGAATACTTACTGCATTCTCTTGAATAGTCAGCTTTTTTTTGCTGTGAAGTATTTTCTAAAGATAATATTTTAGCATCCGATGGCTCCAATGAAAGAATTCGCAGTCTACTTACAATACACCAGATGCCTTAGGACAAAAACAGTCCATTTCATTCAATCTATGTGTAGTGTCGGGTTTGTGTTTTAATTACACAGCCTTGGATAGGACCTAATATTCAAGATTCAGAGCTGTTTCCTCCAGGCTATTACGTTTTTAGACTGGATCGTAATGCTTCGCTTAATGGAAAAACTGATGGTGGTGGGGTATTGATGGCGGTTCGTAAGGATTACTATGTCGAAATTGTGACTAAATTGTGTAATTCGAACAATATTATTGAAGATTTATGGGTTTGTGTTAATTTGAATGGCGGTGAAAAATTGTTAATTTGCATTGTATATGTCATACATCGCTTAATAACTCTAGGCACTTTTTCTCAAAAATAGAATCCATAAGAAATTATAAAAGCAACACCAACTTACTATTAGTAGGAGATTTTAATTTGTCCAATTTAACTTGGTCGAGAGACCTAAATTGCAATGATTTGTTGCCTAGTAGTGCCTGTGATCCGCTGAGTAAATGCTTTTCTAACTTTTTTTTTCCTTAATAATCTGCGACAATATAATCACGTTTTAAATACTAGAAACAAATGTTGGATCTGGTCAAGTCTGTTTCTCTAACGACGATGGTAATTGAATGTAATAATCCGTTAGTTCCTGCGGAATACCAACATCCATTGCTAGAAATAAGTATCAATTTGAGCTGCGAAAAAAAAAATTTGTAATTCTTAAGAAAAATTAAAATTTTCTAAAGCCAATTATGCAATAATTAATTAATGAAATCGTTCTATTCTTTGGAATGCTTTATTGATATCCAGTGATGTTGATCCTAATTTCGACTGTTTTTATGAAAAATTGTCAGAAATTGTAGATACACATATTATAAAAATCAATATTAAACAACGGAAATATCCCTTATGGTTCTCAAAGCACGCTACTAGATTGATAAAAAGCAAGCAATGAGCGCACAGAGACTGGAAAGATAAGCTACAAATAGTTTATGATGTTTTTTCGAATTGAAGAAAGGCCGTTAAAATTAATATTAGTAAAGATTACAAAGCTTACATTGCTGTAACAGAACAAAATAATAAACACGGTACAAAATATTTTTGGTCTTTTATTCGCAACAAAAAAAAAACACAAAAATTTGCCACGAAGAATGATCCTAAACACCTCACATGCTTCTGGTATCTGTGAACTTTTCTCAAGCTTCTTTAGTAGTATTTTTGAATCATCTGACACCCCTTCACTAATAAAACCAATTCCGTCATAAGAATGTTTTAATGTTGATCATATATCGAAGGAAAATGTAAAGGAATATTTATGCTCTGTTAATCCCCAAAAGGGACCTGGGCCTTCGATATTTTTAAAATCATGTCCCTATCTTTATAATTATTTTTCGCACATTGACATCTTTGCGTTATCACTTAATTCGTTTCGAAATCAAGCAATTAGGGTTTTTCTATAAATTTATTTTAATTTTTGATTTGTTTTCCTTATTTTTCACATTTGTTTTTTGTAATTCACGCACTTAATATACAGTGTTAGTTTTGGTTTAGTTTGGTAAGTTTGATTGTTATTGTTTTTTTTTTGTTTTATCTTCTGCTTATCGTAGATATAGGTAGGTACCTACTTATAAGTTTTACTTTGTTAATTAAATAATGGTATAATTGTTACTGTGTCCTTGTAAATTGTGAAGTTAGTTCTTCATGTTAGGGCACCTTTGTAATAAATAAATAAATAAATAAATAAATAAATAAATAAAACCTTTGTGATCCCCTCTTTTTGCTATACAATCAATCCATCTTAACTGGTAAATATCCTGGATATTGGAAAATTGCCCAAGTCGTGCCCATTTTGAAATTCGGTGATAAGAGTAATGTAGCTAACTACAGACCGATCTCTCTCTTAAGCCACTGCGGCAAATTGTTTTGGAACAATTAATTTTTATTGTTAAGGGGCGTATTTACCTGAGTCAGTACGGATTTTTTCGTAAAAGATTAGTCTTAACTAATTTGGTACCGTTTGTTCAGTCAGTGAGTGACAATATGGAGCAGGAGTTCGAAACTTGTACCGTTTACACCGATTTCTCCAAAGTTTTTGATAAAATACACCACCCAACTCTTGCCGTGAAACAGGAGAATTTCGGTATGCACGCTCTTTTGCTCGCCCTCCTTAAGAGTTACTTGTGTGGGCGATCTCAGTATGTTGTTGTAAATGGGATAAAATCGAAGCGTACCAATATAACTTCGGGAGTACCTCAAGGGTCCCTTATTGTTTGCTATTTTCCTATATGATGTTGGCCAGTGCTTTTTACATAGTACTTACTCCTTGTACGTAGATTATCTAAAAAGTTCAAAATCGGTTCACTCGGCGGCAGACTACGTATTGTTGCAGAGAGATTTGTCAAATTTTGAAGAATATTGTTCTCTGAACAGATTGTTTGTTAATCCTTAGAAATTTCACTGTGTTTTGTTTACAAAAAAATTATCACAATTGCAAATTAAAAGTGATCTCTACCTAGATAACTACAAACTGAACTTTTCGGACTCTGTAAAGGGCTTGGGTATTATATATACATAAACTACTCTTTTAACTCTCCAATTATCAGATGTGAATTAACCAGTGAACATTTTCGAGTCATTATTTTTCAGCCGTTCGATATATTTAAAATACATTGGATTCCAGACTGGCGTAGCACATTCCAACACGGGTCTGACAAGACTGTAAAAAAGAATTATTAAAGATTTTTTATTATTAAACACATTAGTCACCCGTAGAATAAATTCGCCGTACAGCCCTAATTTGGCACCTAATGACTTCTTTTTATTCCCGCACATTAAAAAAAAGTTACGTGGTCAACGATTTTCTACGCCCGAAGAAGCGGTTGATGCTTTCAAAAAGCTTGTTTCGAAGTTAACTCATTCAGAACGGAAAAACTGCTTCGAAGATTGGTTTCAAGGCATGCAAAAGTGCATTAATCTTCACGGAGAATATTTTGAAAAACAGTAAAATCAATTTCGATGAAAAATATTTGTTTTCGCATTATTAAGTCAGAAATATAAGTAGCGCCGTCGTATACACTGTCATTAACTCAAAGTTTCGGCTCGCTCGTCACAATATGAAACAAGAAGAAAACCGTTGAAAATGGATATAGGGAAAAGCATGGCAAGTAGGTGGGGAACTAAATTCGGTCCTACACCCTGTGTATTATAATATACAGGGTCACGTCTAAAAAACAAAAATTCGCAGCTTTGAATATGGTAATTGGTTGCAAAGTTTTCAACACTCTATATGAGATAAATACATGCTTAATTTCTAAAGTAATTTCTATAGTAAATGATTAATAGAAGCAGTGTTCAAAATAATCATAACCCAATATAAGAATATGGAAATTTGATAGAAAGTGAAATTAAATTTTCTTAGGAATGCAAAAATGGGATAACAGACTAATAGTTCCATTTAAAATAAGGAATTCCATTGCCACTTCCGTTGGGACCGGAAAGGGCACGCGCTTGAAAATACTTTGTCGAAAATTTCTATATGTTTTGTTCCTTTTTAAATTAAAATGTTAATAGATGATATATTTGAATGAAGCAATGAGATATCTTGGAATTTCATTGTTTTTATTATTTATATACACTCACCCGAATTTAGCTAGAGATACTTGACCAATTGTGGAACTGAATAATAAAGACAATGGAAATCCAAAAAAGATCAGATTATATCAGCATTTATCATTGTCAATAACGTTCAAACACACACTAGATATTAAATATTATCGCAGATGAAAATGATTAATTTTTGCTATTTAAAGGTTATGACAAACATGAAAAACACACAAAATGCTCCGAACGACGTTTCTATTAGCAACTACAATTTTAAGTTTAACGGTAAGTTATCAATTAGTGTGTTTTCATGAATGTTTTAGTGCGCAATGGGTTTTTTTCACAAGTGTCCGATATATCACGGAGGGTTGCTAAAGTATATTAAGAGGTGAAAAACGGTCGAAATAAAATGAAAAAAAGCTGTACTCAACGTTCATAATAATTTTGGATGGCCCCAGCTCCGCCCTATTTGTAATGAATTTTGAATCTCCTTGTTGGAATTGATAATGTTAGTGATACTGAAATTATATGTTGAATGGGTTCGTACGGTGTTGCAAATTTGCCTAGAAGTCAATTACCATAGAAAAAGTATAGTATGCACCACGGAATGTGGCGTCTAGTGCAATTGACGTTTTAAAATGTAACAAATATTTCAGTGATTTTACTAAAAGCAAAGTGAAACGAAGTCATTATAAAGCGCGGACAAGTACTACATAAACTCTGCACATCTTTAGGCCTAGACGAAAGCTAATTATTGCTGGGAACACCTTGTTTAAAGTGATTTTGTGTTGGGTGCAATAAAAATTTCGCCATGTTAGTTGCTTTATTCAGAAGCATGGAACCAAAAATGAACCAATCACAGCAAGCTGTGAGTAAGCAAACTTTAAGAATATACGAGAAGAAATACAATACTACAAACTAACCCCAATGAGATGGCAAATAGTTTCAATATTCACTTCAAAAATAAAATGGAAACTATCGATGGGCGTCGAGGGCCTTTCGTACCGGAAAAGAACTGCGAGCGATCTTTTTATTTATTTCCAACCATGCCGTGCGAAATATTAACTGTTATAAAGAAAGTTTGCAAGAAAAATTCCTTCGTGACATTCTAATCGAAGTGGCCTACATAATATCGTTCGCCTTATCGATAATTATGAACCGTAGTTTGTCTCAGGGAATTTACCCAGCGTCACTGAAATAATCTAGAGCCATACCTATCTACAAGGACAAGGGTGATGCAAGGGAGGTTAAAAATTACCGTCCAGTAGCATTACAGTGTCAGTTCGGTAAAATTTTTGAAAGTTGTTTCAACGATCGTCTGAAACGTTTTCAAGAAAAATTCAATTTATTATCACAATATGAAAAAGAATTTAGATCAGGTTTGCCAGATAATATTATAATCAGCGCTAAAAAGACTAAAGAATTAGCCACTAAGAGTAGCGCTGGTGGTGGTGGATACATTTAAATACAAGCAAATCAAACGCAGTACAATTTGGAACAGCCTATGGATTACAGTATCTTAATAAAAACAGAAAATAAATCGTAAATAATGTACAAGACTTTTTAGGACTATATGACGATTAAAAACTTTGACGCACTGATCAAATTGATAATATTCTATAGTTGTAGTGGTAAAGTTGGTATATCATGGGCTTCTTGAATCAGCAAAGTCCTACAGTTTAATTTTCTGGCGAAAAGCATATGACACACATCAAGTTTTCATCACACAAAAAGAGTGATCAGAGCCATAGCAAGGGTTTCAAGCTCACAGTCACGCAGAGAACTTTTTGGTTCCTTACAAATTTTGACTCTGACCTCTCTTTACGTGTGCTGTCCTATTATACACACTAAAAAGAAGAACCCGAATTCTTACAGAGGCATGAGGTGCATAGTCACAATACCCGAACAAAAAATTATATTAAGCCACCTTTTCACAAATTTTCGCTAATTTTGACGCTGACGTCTCTTTACGTGTGCTGTCTTATTATACACACTAAAAAAAAGAAACTAATTTCATACACGCGCATGAGTCACAATACCCGACCAAAAAATGATATTGAGCCACCTTTTTATAGGCTAGCAATTCGTCAACAAAACCCGGATTTATTGGTATTAAATGGTTAAACAAATTCTATCGACTCGACCCTAGCTTTGCTAGAATCGACATGGAATAATAAAACTAAATTAAAATCAAGCAATTCCTTGTTAAAAAATCATATTATACATTGGCCGAATTTTTCATCCACCGGAGATCTCCAGATTTGTGAGGTTTGATCTTATAAAAGCTCTGCGTGAGGTTTTTTTTTTACTTTAAGTGTATGTCGTTTGTTTGTTTTTTTTAACGTATATTTGTATATCAGTTTGTATTGTACATTACAATGTAATATCTTTTTGTTTTATATTTGTGACGATCCCATAATGTACTGTATTATTTAACTGTAGGCATTACATCGAGCGGAGTTAATAAGAAAACCAAAACTAAAACTATACAAACATCTTCAGTAACTCGTTCGTTAAGCACCCACTCCGCTTATATCAAATGAAACTCGTCAATAAAATGGCGCAAGCCGTCCAAGAAAGTGCCCGGGAGGCATGTGAAGTTACTCATATTCACAAAAAAAATATCCTGCATAGGTTCTCGCAAAAAATAATAGTTTTCCCATACCATCATCATATTAAAATCAATATCATATTCCTTGATATTCAGGGTGCAGATCCGATTATCGGGATCACCACCGGACAACTGCGCGGTCGTGAGATTCAAACTGAAAATATCTCTCTGTACGCGTTTGAAGGTGTTCCCTTCGCATCTCCACCAGTAGGCAGCCTGAGATTCCAGGTAAGTAATGTTGTGTAAGTTAATTAAATCTTAACAACAATGCCACGCGAAATTAAGGAATTTTTGACCGTTAACTGTATCAGTACCATTTCTAGGCAGGCTTCTGCCGAAAGAAACGTGTTTTTGAGGAAGATTCTGGCTGTAATTAACAGCATTTATTCTATTAGGCTCCAGTCCCAGCCGAACCATGGGAAGGCATTCGAGACGCCACGAAATCGGGCAAATGCTGTATTTCAGTAAACTACAACCCATCCATTGAAAATGAAGACTGTCTGTTTGTCAATATCTACACTCCTTCTCGAAATGTAAGTCTTAAGTACTCGACAAAAGAAAGAGGAATATCAATATGCGTAGTTCACAAGACTTGAATGTTATCCTCATTTCTAGATTACTGACCCACTACCCGTCATGGTAAATTTCTACGGGGGTGGATTTGAAACAGGTTGTGCCACCTACGACGAGTTTGGGTCCGGCCCGCTTGTTAACGAAGACGTGATAGTTGTGACTTTTAACTACAGGTTGGGAATTTACGGTTTTTTATCAACAGGAGATGATGTCATATTGGGCAATGCTGGCTTAAAAGACCAGGTATTCGCCTTGAAATGGGTGCAACAAAATATAGCTTATTTTGGAGGTGATCCCGGAAAAGTGACAATATTTGGTCAAAGCGCTGGTGGTATATCTATTGGAGTTCATTTGATGAACAAAAAGTCGCAAGGTAACAATGTGGGAGTAATATAAAAGTACCTTGAAAGTGATTTGTTTAATTAGGGCTGTACAGGGCAGCTATCTGTGAAAGTGGATGTTCCCTGATAGGGCTGTATCAAACTGATCCGAAATTTAATGCTTACGCAGCAGCCAAGTTATTAAATATCTTCATCACAGACCAAAACACCACCGAAGATATAAAAAACTTCCTTCAAAGTCAACCAGTTGAGACTTTAAGTGGTCTTTTGAATATAGGAAAAGTTTTGGTGAGTGTATGATTTGGCCCATTCAAATCTGCATGTATAGGAAAGTTGGTAGACTATAAATTAATAAGATTGTGAATATATTTTTTGCTATTAATTATCATTAACTTTTTAACTAGTTTGTGGTACGCTGGCCGTTATTCTGCCAGTCCTTTAGTCGCTTTAAAAAGCCTGCAAGTGCATTCGAAAAATTTTTTTCCGATACTCTGTATTCAAATTTTTCATTTTTTTTTCACTTCACATTGCGGCCTTAAAACTCTCGATAGCCTTCAATTTGTTAAGGTGTGTTCGAAGGTATTATTGCAGGAAACTTTTCATAGCCTCACATTAACACAAAAGATGTAAGGCGAATTACACACAGGACGTTAATTTGCCAGTCTGCATTAAAAAGTTTTTATATATTGCAGATAGGAGTTGTGTTAGAAGCAGAAAGTGATGATGCTTACGTAACTCAACTCAACTTCCCGCTATTGGAATCTGGAGATTTTAATCAAGTTCCACTTATGCTAGGAAACGTTAATGCTGAATTCCTTGCCAGTGGATGCAGTAATCATTTGTTTACAAATTTCTTAACGTTACGCGCCAATTCGCATTGTTTTAGTTCTAACCCTCGCTATTGCTGCACTATATGACCTCAGTGTTACTAATTTAATTCCTCCTTCTCTAGAAGCTTTATCAGGAACAGATTTAACAGAAGTTGGAAATATTATCAAAGAAGCGTATGTGGGCAAATCTGGATCATTTGTAGCTAATATTTCACAAGCGTTAGAGGTAAGAAAAGATATATTAAACTCGTCTCTGAAGGCTAAACAAGTAGTAGTAGTTCAATAATTATTAATCAAATAAATTTGGATTCTTATTCGTGACAAAACTACTTTCTAGCTCACTAGTGACAATTTTGTGAGACCAACAATCAAACAGGCCGAACTCCAATCGAATTTTTCGCCCGTGTATCTTTACGAATTCTCATTTGTGGGAACTCCAAGTGAAGGTCGCGATATTATTCCAGGTGTCGTACTACAAACGTTCGTATTTAAAACGATTTTACGGTTAAATTTACCATTCCAGGGGGCGGCAGAGTTGCGCATAGCGACGAACTCGCTTATATTTTTGATAATGCGGCTGTACCACTAAAAACCTACGATGATTATCTCACGAGGCAACGAATCGTCAGATTATGGTCCAACTTTGCAAAGACAATGTAACTCAATTGGAATAAAAAAGGAACGAATGTAACGAAACAAAATAACAATGTTTTAGGAATCCCACACCTGATGTTACCGATCCACTCTTGAATGTTACATGGCCACAAGTTACACCGACGAATATCCAGTGCCTCGATATTGGCGCCACTCTTGAAGCAAAACTGAATAGAAAGGCTGGTCAGTTAGCAATGTGGAATGAAGTTTTCTATACATACGGAACTAGACCTTTCAAAGGATTTTAAAATGTATTTACTAACAACCACCCAACACTTTAATAAAATTATACTAATTTAATAGATTGGTTGTACATTTAAATCAATCAAACATCCTAATGTGACTGTAATATAAATTGTTTCTGACTAAATAATATAGTGTCAAACTGTTCCGAATGCTCTAATCTGAATCAAATGCCCGAAATGCTTAAAACTCAGTAACCTTATTGATCCCCCAGAGAAGTGATCTATTAAAAAAATTTCAGACACACTAAGTCCATTAACAAAAAAACGTCGCAACCACACGTTATATGTAAGGTTGTTATTGATATAGAAGGCGAGCTTTCAAGGCAAAAAGTCCTAAAATGGTATAGTCGGCACTTATTATGCTTAACGTACCCAACTCTTCTGAACGAAATTTTGTCACCCAATCTAGCCGATCCAAATAGAACTAACATTGCCAACAAGTAGCGGAAAGTAACTAAAATCCTAATTTTTAACGATTTGGAATAGGTACGTCAAATATTTGTACGTCAACTTGCTTCTCTCGAGACCCTTGACAATTATAGGTACATACTACGCCTATGGAAAACCACTAATTTTTACACCTCAATAATAATTTTTAACTCTCTGACATTGAGAAACGCGGAAGGTTTTAAATTCGGTGGTAGGAATACTTATCGACCTGATGATTTCTCAAATTGCAGTACTAACTAAATCGAGATAATTTGAAAATAATTCGCAAAACGCGCCATTTTTAAACTAACTACCTCAAACTTAGAAATTTTATAGATTTATAAAATTTGATTTAATTAGATGAAACTGTGAAACATGTAACCTTGCGATAATTTTGGAAATTTGGAGAGACCGTTACCATTATTAATTCTCTTTTAATGCATTAAAATGTCGGTGTACTTTTGTCGCACTCAAATGTACAGATAATACTTTTGGTGTATTGTAAGTAAATGTAGTACATTTTATAATTGTTTTCTAGCTGTATACAGGATATTTTGGAAAGGACAAAAAAAAAGCCAAGGTGAAGTTAAACAAAAATCCAATTGGAATTAATGACTTTTTTTAGATAATGTACAATCTCTCGTGTAGTAAACTTCGTTCCACATTGCCATTTCATTTGACTTTTTACCGTGCTTGATCTCAAGAGTCGTATCTATATCCAGGTAAGGAATATGGGAAGTTGTTCCCATCATTAAAGGCTAAAGTTTCCCGATTCGATCAATCCGAACTAAAGATCCGTTATATATGCATCGTCGTCTTCAACTTCTATTACCGGTCCCGCCTACAATAATGACTTATACGAGGATGTATTTTAAATTTACCATCCACTTACTTGGGAGCTTGCGCTGAAGGCATTAGTCAACTAACATCAGCTGGTTGACTCTGCAGGAAATTTCTGATTTCCTCGCTGTTTTGGGAAATAGATGAATTTATAGATCTGGCGATGTCGTAGGCAACTTGCTTCGGATCTGATTGAGACCTTAGTGCCGAACTCGTCAAAGAACAACCGCTCTGGCAAATCACTGCCCTATATAATCCTGCCGGACATGCCACCTGTACTCACACCAAATATTGTCACATTTTCTGGATCGTCACCAAAATATTCAATGTTTTTCTGCGTTCACTTCATCGCCAATAGTTGGTCCTTGAGTCCAGCGTTACCCAAAATTACAATGTCATTGGTACTTAAGAAACCGTACAGACCTAGACGGTAATTGAATGTAACTACAATATCGTCTTCGGTTACGAGAGGATGAGGATCCCCCGAGAAGATATCAGTGATTGTAAATCCGCCCCCATATATCCAGAACATTACTGGTAGTTTCTTTGTAATCTAATAAACATAAACTTTGACGTCAAACAGCAAAATTAAGTAATTTAAGTAAGTAAAACTTTCTTTTGGTCTCCTAGCCATGGTAGGGAAACAAATTAGTCGATTAGTTTTTTTTTACACTGTCAATGCATATGATTTATTTGAAGTATAATTAAGCTTTCCCCCTAAACTAAAACAATTCCTAAATTAAATATCAAAAATGAAAAAGAAAGTAATTAATAATTACTATGCACCAAAAATAGATAATTAAACTGATCTTAATAATAATTGTTTCACCTTAGCATTTCTACAAACTATACTATACTTTCTCAATTAAAACTTGTTGTATTTCCTTTTGAAAGTGCAATCTTAATTTTTGATGTTTACATTATTTCATCATAAAACACAATACTCGTCAAACTGTACTTATTTAATTTGTTTAGTGAGTGCAATATTCATTATTTAATTTTTACTTTACTGTTGAAAAACTTACATTTCTCGGAGACGTGTAGACATTAATATAAAGGCAATCCTCACTTTGTGCCGGTCCACTTAGAGAAAAACTCGTCGATATGCAACAATCTTTCACTTCAGTAGCATCTAGAATTCCGTCCCATGGCCCCCTTGGCACTGGAGCCTGCAATTTCCATTTTTTTTCCAAATCTATAGCGAGTGAACAAATTTTCAGTAATAATTTACCTCAAACCTCAAATTTCCTAAAGGAGAAATTGCAAACGGAATACCGCGATAAGCATAGTAGGTGTAGTTTTCGGTTGTGGTTTCGTATCCGCGAATTGTGCCATCCGGAAGATCGATCAAAAGATCTGCTTGCTGAAAAGAAGAAATTCATCTTATATAAATGTACCTATATATGAGCGTCGGTCGTCTGCAAAATAATAGGTCACTCGCTACCCATCATATTTCCATAAGAATTGAGAAATTTTAACTATATAACTCCGAAAACCAACAAACAAAAGATTAGAAAGCTACAAACCAAATAAGCAGCAATAATTCAAAATAACTATAACGCTAGATAAGACCGTGACAGTCCAGTCTTGATATGTATGAGAAAGCAGTTACTTAGTTACTTAGTCTTAGAGAATAAAAAATAAAAATATTGCTTTTAAGTTACTCACCACAAATGATATTAATAATACGAATAACAGAAGTTGTTTATGCATCATGACTTTATATGTTTCGAGGTTTCGTTTAAGATCTTCAATATTTACACAAATCGGCGATGCTTGAAAACGATAAGGGCTTATCTATTTAAAATACTCTCTTATATTTTAAGTGAATCATCACATATCACAATGCTAAACTGGCTGAATAGATGGCTGCTGGACAAGCACCTTACAGATTAGTAGTACCCATTAATGTTATTGTGACAGCCAGACGTTATTCAAATTTTTCATGACCATTTGGGATAGATACAAATCTTGCAAAATCCGATGCCAACGAATATTTTTGAAAAATTGGTTTCTGCGACTTATTTCTAGCTGGATCAGAGCAAACTTGGAGACGCAATTGGCAACATATATATATATATATATATATATATATATATATATATATATATATATATATATATATATATATATATATATATATATATATATATATATATATATATATATATATATATATATATATGACACTATATTCCGGGATATCATCCGCTTCCGCTTGTTGAACTCCGACCCAAACATATCCTGACCCAAAATACTAATCAAAATTATAAAGCTAACAGCTCTAAATAAATGCTATGATATTTCACTGTTCTTTTCATTATTACACAACACCTAAGCTACATGTGTCAATATTAATATATCAATATCAATTTTCTGTTGTTAACAATATGTGTAATTTTATTTTTGAATTAATCAATAACGTACGCACGAGTTCTTGAAATTCAGACTGGGCCGGGCCAGGGTCGGGCTCGGCCAATTCAGCTCGCTTAACACAATATGAAATAATAAGAAAACGGTTGATAATAGGTATAGGGAAACACATAGGAAATCAGTATAGGATTAAATGCTTTCATTACACCCTGTAATATATAGGGTCATATTTGAAAAAAAATTAGGCTATAATATTTGCTCAATAACAACCTCAAAAGTCAAACTCGTCAAAATTGATTAAAAGAAACAGTTTTGATAATAATGGAGATTGAATACGGGTATAGGGAAACGTGATGGAAATTACTATCAAATTTCCATAGGAATCTGATTAATTACGAAAAATTGTTACTCTTTAATATAAAATTTGAGAGATGAAATGATAGATTTTGGAATTCGGTTCCCTTCCACCGTACTTAATTCGCCTGAAGACTACTGGAGATACTTGACACAGTTTAAAGATAATAGTAGTAATAATAAATAAACGTGAACGTAAATAATAAACATAAATCAACATAAAAATCGTTTCATCAATATTTATCATTGCCTGTGACCTGTGAACAGCCAGTAGATATTAAATTTTATCGTAAATGACAATGATTAATTTTTCTATATAAAAACTCTGACAACCATGGATAACAAAAAAAATGTTCCGAAGGACGATTTTATTGACAACTACAATTTTAGCTTTCACGGTAAGTTAACACTTGTACACTTAATGAAACCTGATGGCGTTTATCACACTTGTTGAGGAACATTGCACAAATTAATTATTCGCGTACAGGGTATTAAACAAGTACAAACAACCCCACATGGCATTCCAAAATTAGGATGTTGACGGCGATAGTTCTGGAGAGGCTTTTGCGGAAAGATTAATAAAAGGATTTATTGTGTTAGGCCCCAGTCCCATCCAAATCATGGGAAGGCATTCGTGATGCCACCGAAGCGGGAAAATGCTGTATTTGCGTAAACTACGACCCATCCAATGAGGATGAAGACTGTCATTTTGTCAAAATCTACACTCCTTCGCGAAATGTGAGTCTTAGGTGCCCAACAAAGGAAATAGGAACATGCGAAGTTTGAAAAACGTGAATTTCGTCCTCATTTGTATACTACAGACCAACTACCCATCATGGTATATTTTTACGGAGGTGCATTTGAAGCGCGTTGTGCCACCTACGACCAGTTCGATTCCGGCGAGCTTGTTAACAAAGATGTGATAGGTGTGACTTTTAACTTTAGGTTGGGAATTTTATGGTTTTTTATCAACAGGAGATGATGTGATCTTGGGGAACGCTGGCTTAAAAGATCAGGTACCGGTCTTAAAATGGGTGCAACAGAATATAGGTTACTTTGGTTTTTATCCCGGGAAGGTGACCTTATTTGGTCAGAGCGCTGGCGGGATATCTATTGGAGTTCATTTGATGAAAGGTGAAAGCAATATAATAAAAACTTTAAAGTAATTTGTTTGATTAGGATTATACAGGCAGCTATTTGTGAAAGTGGATGTTCGCTAGTGGGTTTGTATCAATTTGATACAAAATCAAATGCTTAAGCCGCGGCGAAGTTATTAAATATCGACATCACAGACCAGAACACTGCCAAAGATATAAGAAACTTTCTTCAAAATCAATCTGTCGAGACTTTAAGTAGTTTCTTGAATATAGGAAAACTTTTGGTGAACATAGAATTTGGCCTATTTTGGTATACACGTATAGCAAATTTAGCAGTTATTTTAAACTACAAACTAATAAAATTGTCTACATTTTTTGAATCAATTATCAATAATTTTTTGGTTGGTGAGAAATTGGGCGTTGTCGTGTAGTCCCCAAAGTCACTTCAAAAAGCCTGTCAGTGTCTCCGATTCTATGAGATTTGTCCCAAAGTATTATTGTACTACTTACTGCACTGTCTATTATTGGAACTCGTCATGGCCTCCGACTGACATAAAAGATTCAAGGCGGTTTAAGCAACCCCGAACTTTTTTTAGATGCTTAGTCAGAACACTAAGTAACGGTCGCGTAATTTTCCCGAGTAGAAAGTTCCTATATTTTGTAGATTGGTGTTGTGTAAGAAGCAGAACATGATGATGCTTACGTAACTCAACTCAACTTCCCGTTATTGGAATCTGGTGATTTTAATCAAGTTCCGCTTATGCTAGGAACTGAGTCTGCTGAATTCCTTGGCAATGGGTTCAGTAAACATTTTTTGACAAATTCCTTAACGTTACTCTCCAATTCGAATTGTTTTAGATCTAGTCCTCGCTGTTGCAGTACTTTATGATCTTAGTGTTAGTAATTTAATTCCTCCTGCCCTAGAACCTTTACCAGGAACAGATTTAACAGAACTAGGAAATATTTTCAAAGAAGCATGTTGGGAAAATCTGGATCATTTGTAGCTAATATTTCACAAGCGTTAGAGGTAACAAAAATTAGAAAATTAGATATTAAGCTGGTCCTTAAGGTTGCTAAAACATGGAATACATCATTTTTACGTGATATGTACGTCAGGAAATAAGAATGAACTTCTCTTAGCTAGCTTCCTAGCTTAATCCTTAGCTACCGAATGGGTAAAGGAATGTTTAATAATTGATAAAAAAAATAAATTTGAATTTTTCTTCGTGACAAAATGACTTTCTAGATCACTAGCGATATTTTTGTGAGACCAACAATCAAACAAGCCGAACTCCAATCGAATTTTACGCCAGTGTATCTCTACAAATTCACATTTGCGGGTACTAGAAGTGAAGGCCGCGATATTATACCAGGAATGTATTCGTATTTAAAACGATTTCGCGGTAAAATTTGTTATTTCAGGGAGCGGGATAGTTGGACATAGCGACGAACTGGTTTATATTTTTGACATTGCAGACGTACCACTAAAAACCTAGGATGACTATCTCATGAGAAAACGTTTCGTCAGATTATGGACTAACTTTGCAAAGACAATGTAACTAACCTAAGATACACCAATGCAACGAAACAGAATAACAATGTTTTAGGAATCGCACACCTGATGTCTTCGATCCGCTTCTGAATATTACGTGGCCACAAGTTACTCCGACGAATATTCAGTACCTCGATATTGGCGACACTCTTCAAGCAAAGCCGAATAGAAACGGTACCCAGTACGCAACGTGGAATAAAGTTTTCTATACATATGGAGCCAAACCGTTTAAAGGATTTTAAAATGAATTAACTACGATCCGCGCAACACTTTAATAAAAATGAGAGAAAATTTACTTCCTAAAATGTTTTAGAATAATTTACCGGATTCTTGAAGATGATGATGGTGACGTCGTGATTCTAAGGTGACAAATTCAAATAAACATTTAAAATGTTAAAAAAGACTCTTTTTTATTAGAAATTCTTACATATTTATTTGAAAATGTGACCAGTAGCATCCCTATGGGATGCAGGACTACATATTTTGAAGAAAATACTAACTACGACACTGATTGGCCTTCAATTCAAGAATAAAATATAAACATATTGGCATATCCGTATGAGACTTAGAAATATTTTAAATAAATTAAGGATTTTCCAATAGTAAGGTTCAATGTTTGGCAACAGCGCATGCCGATAGTCACACAGGTGCTATCTTTGAACGCCATATTCGGTTAGTTTATGTGTTAAAAATTAATATCAAATTCTATTCGACAAACATTTCGTGCACTCCGTTTAATTTATGGCGTCTGCAGAATCCACAATTCGCCGTTTAATAAACAAATTCGAAACAACTATGGCAGATGAAAAAGTGTCTGCACATGAGAAAAATTCAAGATCCCTTGAAAATTTTGATGCAAGTGGCAAGTGGATATGAAAATCCGCAACAGGATATTCCGCGTCAGGCTCAAAAACTTGCCGTGTCTTCGACAACAATCTGGCGAATCCTGCCCAAGGACTTAGGGCTTCACCCTTATAAGGTGCAATTAATCCAAGAACTAAAGCGCCACGACCATTGGTAGCTAGAGCATCTGAATGTCGATCCTAATTTTGGGAGAAAATGTTTTATGACGAGGTTCATTTTTAGATAGGTGGCTTTGTTAACAAGCAATATTGCCCGATTTGGAGCCATGAGGAGGAGGTTTAATAATCGTCCCATATCTTCTAGAAAACGAAAAAATGGTACTTACTGTCAACGATGAACGATACAGAGCTATGATAAGAGATTTTTTTGGCCTGTAGTGGATAGGACCAATCTAACAAACATGTGATTTCAGCATAGGCACTTTAAAATTAGATTTCTAATCACGAAAATTTCTAACAGCCACAGTAAGACAGCCTGTATTTTGTT